TAGATTAGAACAGGCTGAAAGTTTTCATGGTCAAATCTAGATATTGGAACACTCCTCATTGTGAAGAGTAGAAAGGGTGGAGAGTAGGTTGATAAAGTTCTTATGAATTTATTTCTTCAGAAAGAAAGGATGTTGGCCTGAATAGAAGTAATGAACAATTAGAATTGAGAGAAGTGGTCAGATTCTGAAAATATTTAGCAAATAAAATTGATGCAATGTGAATTAAGAAGGGAAATAAGATACAGGGAAGGCCAAAGAGGTTGAATATCACCAGCTTTTGCTGCTTTTTTTGTACATGGAGTATAGGTATTATTTACTAGTATATGGAAAAGAGAATGAAGGATGGAAATGAAAAAACGAACAGTTCATCTTTGTAAGTTGGGTTGAATGAGATTGTGAGATGTAGTTGAGATACCTCTTTGTATATTGGATGTATGGGCTTCAATACCGACATCCACATCTGGGCTGAATCCATAAATTTGAGGGTGATTTATTTATTATTTTAAGCATATAATGGATGCCATCAGAATGTGCAGATTATACCTCAGGCCATACTTTTAATTTACTTATTTATTTTTTTATTTGACAAAGAAATATTGTATGTATTTTCTATGTGCAACCTTCTGCTTTTATGAGTTTAGCCTGTTTAGATTCTACGTATAAGCGAGATAATGTGATATTTTGTCTTTTGGTGCCTGGCCTGGCTTATTTTACTTAATACAATGTTCTTCATGTTCATCAATATTGTCAGAAACAATAGGATTTGCTTCCATTTAAAAGCTGAATAGTGTTGCATTGTGTATATAAACCACATTTTCTTCATCTATTCATCTGTCTGCAGACATTTAGGTTGATTTTGTGTCTTGGCTATTGTGAATAATGCTGCAATGGAAATAGAAGTTCAGATATCTCCTTGAGACACTTATTTTCAAATTTGTGATGTATACTAAATAGTGGGATTTCTTGATCATATCTTTAGCTCTATTTTTAACTTTCAGAGGTGTCTCCATATAGGTTTCCATAAAGACCATGCTAATTTACTTTTTCTTTTTTTTTCTGAGACAGAGTCTCACTCTGTTGCCCAGGCTGGAGGGCAGTCGTGGAATCTCGGCTCACTGCAACCTCCACTTCTAGGGTTCCAGCCATTCTACTGCCTCTGCCTGCTGAGTAGCTAAGATTACAGGTGCCCACTGCCACGCTCGGCTAATTTTGTATTTTTAGTAGAAGCAGGGTTTCATCATGTTGTCCAGCCTGGTCTAGAACTCCTGACCTCAGGTGATCCGCCAGCCTTGGCCTCACAAAGTGCTGGGATTACAGTCATGAGCCACCACGCAGGGCCTAATTTATGTTTTTACAAACAGGGTGTAAGAGTTTCTTTTTTTCTACATCCTCTCCACCATTTGTTATCTTTTGTCTTTTTGGTAATAGCCATTCCAACAGATGGGAAGTGGTATTTCATTGTGGCTTCAATTTCCCTGATGGCTAGAGAGGTTGATCATTTTTCATATACATATTATCTGTATGTCTTCTTTTGAAAAATGTTTATTCTGGTCCTTTGCTTATTTTTAAATCAGTTTATTTTCTTTCTGTTGAATTGTTTGTGTTCTTTGTATTTTGCATATTAATTCCTTATCAGATGTATGGTTTGCAAATCTTTTCTCCCATACTATTGATTATCTCTTTAATCTTTTGATTGTTTCTTTGGCTGTGTAAAAGCTTTTTAGTTTATCATGTAATTTCATTTGCACATGTTAGCTTTTGTTTCCTGTCCTTTTGTGCCATATCCAAAAATTATTGTCTAGACCAATGTCATGAAGTTGTTCCCCTCTGTTTTCTTCCAGTAGTTTCACAGTTTGCGTCCTTACATTTACATATTTAACTCATTTTGAGTTTATTTTTGTATATGTTTAGAGATTTTTATTCTTCTGCATGTGGTTATCCAATTTTTCCAATACCATTTATTGAAGAATTTGTTCTTTCCTGATTGTGTGTTCATGAAACCTTCGTTGAAAAGTCAAATTAATGTAAATAGTTGGGTTTATTTCTGGGTTTTCTGTCCTGTTCATTTGCTCTCTGTTTCTATTTTTATGCCACTATCGTGCTATTTGGATGACCGTACCTTTGTAGTCTATTTTGAACTCAGGTAGTGTGATGCCTGCATCTTTGTTCCTTTTACTCAAAATAGCTTTGCGTATTCAGGGTTTTTATTTTGTGATTCCATATAAATTTTAGGATTTGTTTCTGTTTTTGTAAAAGCTGCCATTAGAATTTTGATAGGAATTGCATTGTATCTTTAGATTTCTTTGGGTATTATGGACATTTTAATAATAGTAATTTTCTCGTCCATCAACTCAAAATATATTTCTACTTATTTTTGTCTTCTTCAATTTCTTCTATCAATATTTTATAGTTTTGAGATTTGTTATTATTGTTGTTATTTTTGAGACAAGTTCTTGTTCTGTAGCCAAGACTAGAGTGTAGTGTCACAATTATTGCTCACTATAATCTCAAATTCCTGGGCTTAAGCAATCCTCCCACCTCAGACTTCCAAGAAGCAAGGACTATAGGCACATTGCTATGATGGCCAGCCAACTTTTTAAATTTTTTATACAGACAGAGTCTCAGCATGTTGATCAGGTTGGAATTTTATACTTTTATGTGTACATGTTTTTTTTTCTTACCCACTTGGTTAAATTGATTTCTAAGTATTTTTGTAGCAATTTTAAATAGAAATTTATTTATTTTTAAAGATGGTTTACTGTTATACAGAAACACTACAGATTTTTATGTTGATTTTTTTATCCTGCAATTTTCTTGAATCTGTTTATTTGTTCCAAAATATTTTTGTGGATCCTTTAGGGTTTTCTGTATATAAGACCACTTCATTTTTAAACAGGCACAATTAAACTTCTTCCTTTCCAATTTTGATGCCTTTTATTTATTTTTTTGTTGTCGAATTGCTCTGACCAGAACTACGTTGAATAGAAGTGGTCAATGTGAGTATCTTTGTCTTCTTCCCTATCTTAGAGAAAGGGTTTTCAACTTTTCACCGTTGAGTATGTTAGCTGTGTGTTTGTCATACGTGGCATTTTTTGTGAAAAGCTCTTCAATTTTATTGCTTATTATATTTCTTCACATATCATTTATTGTCAACACTATATTAGTTTACTGAGCACACAAATAAATAAAACAGAAGCCCAGAACTCAGGCAGATTGGATATCACACAAACTAATCTGTGTACTGTTTGCAAATCACACTGTGTTCCAACATCTGTACATGATGTTGCAAGACTAATATTTTTGCTACCTGTTCTTAGAAGCCTTTGTGATCTCACCTGTTGGAATGTACTAATGTTTACTGAGCCCCTTGAACATGCTGTCTACATTCTCTTAAGAAGCTCTTCACCAACTGTCAGGCAATGTAGTTTGATGAATTAAGAATGGGGGCTCTGGATTCTGAATCCCTAGATTTCAATTCTTATTCCCAGTTACTATATACTCGGTGTTCTTTCACATTATTTGAGTTAATTACTTATTACCTTTCATTTTCCATATAAGAGAGGTTATTATATGTTTTACATGGAATTTTTGTGAAATTTCAGTAATGCACTTGGCATGATGAGGACTCAATGAATATTAACTATTTTAATTGAACAATATCATGATTAACTATATAGAATATGGTGAAGAAAACCAAGATTTGAATCCTAATTCACGTGATATGAAGCAAGTTATTATTTAAATGGTAAATATAAAATAGGGAATGTAATAACTACCCCACTGGCTTACTGTGACGGTCCAGTATATTAAAATTTGTAAAACCCTTGGTACAGTGATTTGTAAATAATAATGATAATTATAATGATGATTTATATTGCTTCATATGCATTCATTTTTTATTTATAATAAGTACATGGGAGATGTTACCCTTTATTAAGTTAATTTATGTTAGGTAACTTTTTTCCTGGTTTGTAATATCTAATGTCTTTCTCATAATAGTTGCCCAATAAACATTTATGAAAATATGAATTCAAGATAACCCAGACAATGAGGCTGGTGCTTCTGTGCCAAAGCTTTTGTTCAATGTCCTGACATGATTTCTTTAGATGTCATTTTGTGTCAACACTATCCTTACATCTACACGGATTGTATAATTGTCTTCATAGCATTGATTGAGAATTGATAAGATATCCAGCATTTCTCTGTACAATCTGCCAAAATCATATCTGTTGTATTGAAATAAAGGATGTATTATTCTGATATCTATATTTCCTCATAAATATTCAAATTACTGTAAGGAGTAATACATTAACATGGTGTCAAATTAAATTAATCGACTACACTGGAAGATTAGTAATCAGGTTACTTTCCATTTTAAATTTTCATTGACAGCAAGATTTGAAAGAATTATAAGTATGGATGCACTCATCCATTTATTCTTTAATTTATGTATTTAGCAAGCATATTAAGTACTTTTAAACATTTTGAATATAAAGATGGGGGTATAGGATGTATGTTAAAAAGTGCAAATTCAAATATATAGTTCTTTCACCAAGAAAACTAAATACAGAAAAGAGTAAAAATCATATAGTCTAGTAGGAAGAATTTATATTCTAGACAAGAGCATTGACTTTCCCAGGAATATATATTTTAGGAAGATCATTATCACTATGGGTTGTGAACCAGTAAAAGAGAAAAATGAATGCAGTGGATGACCAGGAAGTTAGCATGAGGTCCAATGCCACAGAAGGAAGATGAGAAGCTAAAAGCAAAGAAAAGAAAAAGGAAAAAAAAGAAAATAAAAAGTATTAAGTGGCAATAAATTGTTAAACAACCGGGTGGGAATTTGATGAATGACAGAAATCTACGGGTACAGGAAGACAGATGGTGAAGTAGGACATATTTTCAGAAGCATTTCACATTGTAGAACTACATCTAAAGTGACGGTGAAACTCTTTAAGCTGCGCCCATAGTTAAAGGAGTCTTTCTATTTCTAACAGAGGGCAACCAGAGAAAAAAGCCACTTAAGATGTTGGAATCCCTGGGCAAAGATTTCCTCACTGGCGTTTTGGATAACTTGGTGGAACAGAATGTGCTGAACTGGAAGGAAGAGGAAAAAAAGAAGTATTATGATGCAAAAACTGAAGACAAAGTTCGGGTCATGGCAGACTCTATCCAAGAGAAACAACGTATGGCAGGTCAAATGCTTCTTCAAACCTTTTTTAACATAGACCAAATATCCCCCAGTAAAAAAGGTAAGACTGGGTCTTTTACAATGAATGTCTCAATTTTCCCAGAATCTATTTAACTCCAAGGCCTAAGCAGTGTCTTCTGTGATACCCTTATCTTTCCCTTCCTCAACTATCATTTTCACTAAACCTATCATTGTCCTTTTAGAGACCACTTCACCCTTTGTGGGGTGGAATCCAGTTTACAACAGATAAAAGGCTGAGTCCTTGTGTTTAGATTTTGTACAAAAATAGTTAATAGTTCACACCTTGTAGTAAGAGATACATAGAACTAAACCTAGATTCTGTCACCTGTGACCTATGCGACTTCCTGCAAGTTGCTTAACTTCCCCAGCTCCCTATTTATTAGTCTTACCATCTGTGAAATGAAGACAATTCCAGTACTTTCTCATAAGATCGTCTAGGCTTAGAAACATTATAATGACAGGCACCACATGCCAACAACTCCCAAGATATTAGCTCTCATCTGGAACTCTCTCCTCTGAACTCCAGACTCATTTAGCTCTAGCAGTATATTCAACAGGTCTACTTGATTGTTTTGCTGGCATCACAAAACAAATACGGCTAAAACTATACACTTTGTTCTCCAGAATAAAACTGTTCCATTTTTATTCCCTTTTCATCTCAGTAAACAGAAACAACATCTACCAAGTTTCTCCCACCAGAATGCAACTGGTTTCTTCACCAATTAATAACAGTAATCAGTAGTTTTCTTGGCACATAGTGGATGCCTAAATAACATAGGATGAATAAGTAAATAAAGTATTATGCATTCAATAAATATTAGTTTTCATAATTATTATGTGGATGCTATGAACTAGACTTTTCCAGTGCTTACTTATTTCTGCGAGTTATAGAATATGATAAGGAGAATCTCTATAAAGTGTCTAAAATTTTAAAACTTCTTTTCGGAACTTTTGCCCCAGATTGAATTATGTATTATTAGAGGTTAAACATTCTCACATTGAAGTTCACCAGAGACAGACTCAATTCCCCCCTAGAATTTAAGCTTAAAGATTGAGCCATGAAGTATTACAGATTACCAATAATGATAAATAGTAATAAACAAAAGGAAATATAAATTGTTGAGACCTCACCATATCAAATGAGCTTTTTCAATCAGCACTCCTCTGTGAAGAAGGGGTGTTGCTACCAACAGGGAGCACGTGATAGCATGACAGTTGTTCAAGATTATAAGAAGGTAGCATCCTTATTCATATTTAAGCTGGTCCCTTCGCAGGGCTTTTTGTTTGTTTGTTTTGTTTTTTTCTCAAACCTGGGATGGCATGGAAACAATCTCCGTTTTCAAAAAGTCAGTGACAGTGCAACTAATGGGAATTAGAGTAGAAGTAATAGAGGCTTCAGAATGGTTTTAGCAAACCCAGATATTACAGTGAGCATTCGATTCTAAACTGAAGTAACCTATCTGATGAGCAGAGGCTGTGGCGGGAATAAGACAGCTGCAGCCCCTCACAGGCGGGGTCTAGTAGCTCCCTGGGCTCTATCTTCAGATGGAGTCTCCAGAGTGATCCCAGAAAAATTTAGGTACACTGCCAGTGTAACTACAGTGTACCCAGCTCTCTTTGGGCAGCAGTCTGTACTATAATATGTACTATCTTGTAATGAAATGATTTGCTTTCATGCTAATTTTACTATTGGATGTAAGATAGAAATTCTATCTCATTTTTAATTTTACCCGAAAACACTGTATCTACACATACACACATAATTATCATTAGGAGATGACTAAGTTAGGAAGTTCTCCAAACCTGTAAGTGAACTGGAAACAGAAAACTTTGGACTAGAAAACATACCCTCTAACCAGGGAATATCCAAGGATCCAGCATGTCTTCACATTGGCAGAATTTTCTGAAATAGGACCAAAGGTCATATATTACTGTGTAATCTATGAAAAGAGATGCTCCGAAGGTTTGACATTCATAGACACTCTTACAAGTTGTTACATCTCCAGAGCTCAGACTGGCTGGCTTTACAAATAGCTGGCTTTACAATTTGCACAGGGATAATTGAAGTTCATTTGTTCTAGAATCATTAAAAATTAACAGCAAAGTTGCTAAAAAATAATGCCTTGAAAATACAAGATTCAATATTCTGTGGTTTGGTGTATGTATGTATCAGTATGTGTAGTGGGGATTAGGAGGGGACGATTACTCCAAAATGGGATTTTGTTCCATCCTATATGGGATAACTATTAAGCATTTGGCTTGTGGTTAAAAACACATGTTAAAATAATACTTTTTATATGTTATGTTAAATAAATGTTATTAGAATTAATGTTACCTGTTTAATTTTACCTTTTACGTGTGATAGTAGAAATTAAATATTGGACATGGAACACACATTAAATTTGTAGTAGATAGCACTCTGACAACTATCTACTCAGTATACTCTACTCTTGCACAGACACAATACAAAGTCCACACAGATAAATGAGTATCCTGGAGTAAAACCTTTGGAAAAATCAAATTCTTTCGACCGTATAAAGAAAGGCCAAATTTAACCCCAACATCATTGAAATGTTTTCCCCAGAATGATCAGAATCTATGATTACATGTTTGGGTAGATTTTCTTTTCTATCTTTTCCAGTAGCAATACATCTCCTGATGTGGAATACTAGATATGAGATACCACTAAAACTCCTGTATGTAAAGAAATCTTCTTCCCAGGACGTCTTCTCTCTCGAGCTTCTTAGGTGATAAATTGGGTCACAGAGGCAGAAATCACAATTTATGTTATGTGATATCCTGCAGCTCATCTGAATATGGAGGCTAGACCACCTGAGTCAGGAGAATCTGCAGATGCCCTCAAGCTTTGCCCTCATGAAGAGTTCCTGAGACTATGTAAAGAAAGAGCTGAAGAGGTGCTATGCTATCTGCATTAAACAGCAAAAAAGAAGAGAAATCATTGCTTTCCTTCAGTGCACCATTTCTTACAGCACTAAATGATTGGGGGTGGGGATGGCAGTAACCATTTGCAATACTGCTTTTAGTAAGGGAAAGATTATGTGACTTCACAATGATACCAATCCTCTCTCAACCCATAATGCAGATCATTTTATCACGAGTTGAGAGAAAATTGGTATTTCTATGGCTCATGTATTTATTCTTGTAATTATTTGGATTTTATGAAAATTGTAGCATTAGTCATGGAATAAACATATTTACAAGATAAGATAGCTGACTAGTAATTGGTTGCACTCTAGTTGAAAAGTCTAGACATGAAGGATACTTGGGAAATATAATTAAAGCTTGAAAAACAGTATACATTTATGTGTTAAAAATAGTAACAAAATAGCTATGCTTCCAAAGGCAAAGACTTTTGCTGTATTCATTTTCCAATGGAGCCAATGACAACATCTCTTGCTTTGTATGAAATTTGACCTGAACTTTGAATGCTAAGAAAGATTGGAGTAGTTGAAGAAGAAAAGAGAGAAGAAAAGGGGTAGAAATTATCTAGTTTCCTCAAGATTCTCGAATAACCATTTCAGATATGTCCTCGTTCTTTCCCTGGGTTCCTCAGAGAGAGAAAGTCAGTGTCTTTGATGCAAGTTAGAGCAGAAAGCAGCTGCATGAAGACTTAAAAAGCAACATTGTTAGGCATAAGGGGGCTGAAAGAAGACTTGAGTAAATTAAATTTACTGCATCTCCATATCCTGCAGATCTATCCAATAAAGGAGAGAAATGACCGCACACGCCTGGCTCTCATCATATGCAATACAGAGTTTGATCATCTGCCTCCAAGGGATGGAGCTGACTTTGACATCACAGGGATGAAGGAGCTGCTTGAGGGTCTGGACTATAGTGTGGATGTAGAAGACAATCTGACAGCCAGGGTAAGAACCCCTCAGTCGCCACAAACACATACGTATTCAACACACATCCTTCTAATAACTACTTAGTTTCAACGAGCTCAACAAAGTTTAACAACCTGTGTGTGTGTGGGTGTGTGTGTGTGTATGCAAAATGAGAGTACTAGATTGGTAAATCTATGTCTCTTTGGTCCTCCAAATATCCTCAATTCTGGAAAACTAGACTAAACATGATTGGCACATGTTTTCACGTTTCTTATTGAATTCCAAAATCATGTGATTGGGATGCAGCCCCAAGAATCCCCAGAAAATTATAGACTAATGAATGCTAAATGGGAGTACACTTGTAAAACAAATATTGAGTTCTAAACCTGGTGCCAAGAGCTATTCTTAACATTGGGAATAGGTCTGTAAATGAGACAGGAAGCTCCCAGCCGGCATTCATCTAGGTTACAGTGGAGAGAAACAGTGAAATTTTAAGAAAAAAGGCAACTTCAAGCACCAGGTGTGCATGTGTGTGCCTATAAAACAGTGACAAGACAGCCAAAAGTAAGCAAAAAGAAAAGAAAAAGGAAACATGAGACAGAATTGCAGGGTGGGGAGCCATGTTTTTGGATTGGTTGGAGACGGCTTTGGAAAGACACGAATGCAGTGCCTTCAAAGTAGGAGATGCTACTGTGAAAGAGCTGAGCTGAAAATGAACCTGGCATATGAGAAGCACAAAGAGAAGACCAGTGTGACTAGAGGTTGAAGGAGAATGGACACAGTATGAGGGTGGAGTATGGTCAGGCCAGAAGTTTGATTCTATTCTAAGCATAGTGGGATGGATTTTACAAAGAAAGTGCTGTGTTGCATTTATAACACATGACTCTTGGTAGGTAGGAAGAGAAAAGATTGAGATGGAAAAGAAAAAGTAACATGAGTAACACATAACAATATACAATATACGAAGAAGAGAGTATGTCAGCAGGAAGAGAAAATGGGAACCCACAGCCCCATAGAGAAGGAAAAATAAAACCATAAAACAGTTGTTGTGACTGAGTAAGCAATATGTGAAGCACCATGACCCGGATGTCACATATGTTTCTTGTTTCACTCATGGTAAATCTGGGACGTCCTATTAATTGTGATACTTCTCTGACTGAAGTTAGACATTGCTCTTTTACAGGATATGGAGTCAGCGCTGAGGGCATTTGCTGCCCGACCAGAGCACAAGTCCTCCGATAGCACATTCCTGGTGCTCATGTCTCATGGCATCCTGGAGGGAATCTGTGGAACTGCACATGATGAGAAAAACCCAGATGTGCTGCTTTATGACACCGTCTTCCAGATATTCAACAACCGAAACTGCCTCAGTCTAAAGGACAAACCCAAGGTCATCATTGTCCAGGCCTGCAGAGGCGGTGAGTGCTGAGACTGAACATCTAACAGTTACGAAGGTGTATGCAGAGGATTTTGATGTTTGGTTTATATTTAGGGGAAACAATGTTAGACCCCATCCAGTGCAAACAAAGTACAATGAATTCTAAAAAAACTCTACCTAAGGGTCTGTAATAATGAGAAATTATCTCATGAGAGGAGAAATTTCTGTACAATTTTATCCACAGTAAGCGGTGAAGGAGATCATCAGAATCCCTAAATCAAAGTTAAACAGAAATACTGAAACTTTGGAATGGAATCATTTTCATGATAGCTTGATTTGTAAATGTTTTACAGACATTTGGACATTGTGTGGTTTGAGAAGAATTTCATTTGAAACTGGGGCCATTATGTAAAACAGCATCCCTTTTTCTTATAATTATTGAGGGGGATATTAGTAAACAAGTCAGGGAACTTTAGAATGCTGCAGTTCAATTTTGCTCCAGAGATTCAATTGTCTCATGGCTGGCTGAGGATGGTGGTTCATGCCTATAATCCCAACACTTTGGGAGGCCAAGACAGGAGGATGGCTTGAGGTCAGAAATTTGAGACCAATTGTCTCATAGCTCTTGGAAGCTATTTTTCGAAAGAAAACAGATTTTTTTTTCTAAAAATGGTAAATTCAAGATGATTTCACTATCAGTAGGCACATTGTTGAATGACACTGGAGAGAAAGCAAAGTGGGGTGTGTGTGTGTGTGTGTGTGTGTGTGTGTGTATTTGTATCTGTGTGGCTCTGTATGTATGAAACTAGTAAGAATGAATATTCAAAAAGAACAAGGTGGGCAACTGTGATAGCCATTCTGTGGGAGGCACAGCAGTGTGCAGAAAGTTAATGTCTCTACAGCAAACCGTGGGGAACTGTGGGTCAGAGACTCTCCAGCATCCTTGGAAGTGGCCTCTTCACAGTCACCTGAGAACCTGGAGGAAGACGCTGTTTACAAGACCCACGTGGAGAAGGACTTCATTGCTTTCTGCTCTTCAACCCCACGTATGTATCTTTCAGTGGCAATAAGGGATTTGTGGGCCTGAGGCTACCTTTTGAATGAATCTACAAAATCAAGAATCCCCATGTAACAATGATCTGATAGAATGTTGTGTGCTCTCTACATATTTTACATGATCTTATGTATGATATGAAAACACATTCCTACCCCCTCCAAAACACACATTTTTGAAAATTGTACTTTTATTGTAAGTGTTACACTTTACAGAGGCATACCAAATACTAAAGCAACCCAATACATGGAAACCCATTCACCGCTCACCATTTAAACATATGATGAATTCTGTTTTTTTTTTTTTTTTTTTTTTAATTAAGCCCATTTAACATTTTACATAGTGTTTTTATGGATTCCAGGAATGACTTCTCTTTCTCAAATGATCAACTTCAAGTCTTCTTCTCCATATTTCCCATGTGATTCTACAATGACCAGTGCCATTGCATGCCTTTCTAGAACTGTGGATACCCTTTAAAACAAGTAGAAGAATTCAGTGGAATTATCCCACTTTACAGAGGAAGGAATAGAAGCTCAGAAAGATGAAGGAACTCCCCAGTGTTCACAGTGAGTAAGCAACAAAAAATTGCTACCAGGCTCCAAAGTTGTGGGGTTGATTAGGTCTAATCTCAGGGAACATTGGTCAGTATTTCACTTCTAGGTAATTATCTTAAGGAGCGTACATTTAACTGTTTTTGATTTGTATATTTTTTAAATCTTATTTTTTAAAACCACTTTATTGAGGTATGATTGACATAAATAATGGTACATATTTAATGTGTACAACTTAATGAGTTTGGAGATATGTATGTACTCCTGAAATCATCACCACTATCTATGCCATGAACATATCTCTCTTCTCCAAAAGATTCTTCCACTTCTCTGTTAATTATTATCATCATTCCGTGATTGTGTGTGAGAAGTATACTTAGCATAAAATCTACTCTTTTAGCAAATTTCAAGTACATAAAACAGTATTGGTTACTATTGGCACCATCCTGTACAGTAGATTTTTATCACTTTTTTCGTCTTCTATAACTGAAACTTGTCATGTGCTCATCATTTTGTTTATTATATGGTGAAAGACAGCGTGGCATAATCTGCAAACAACCATAGAGCCTGGTAGCAATTTTTTGTTGGTTACTCAATGTGTGAACATGGGGAAGTTGCTTCATCTTTCTGAGCTTCTATTCCTTCCTCTGTAAAGTGGGATAATTCCAGTTATTTCTCAAGCCCCTATAAAAGCCGAGAGAATGAGTGTGAGTTTTGTAGTAGAAAGTCAAACCCACGAATCAAAATTCATTCATTACACAATCTCTTGCAATGCTTACGAACTGCAACTTTTGGTCACCTTTTGCTAGGTTTTCTGTTTACTTTCTGTGGAAAGTGGGTAAATGTCAGGTTGTAAGTGCTTCCTACAAATCTGTAAAGATAATTCCCAAGCTATGCTTTTCTTTTTTAAAAATTCTCAAAATGAAAATATAAACAAAAACATATTGAAAGTCATATCCTAAGGCATATCCATCTGTATCATCATAGATAACGTGTCCTGGAGAGACAGCACAATGGGCTCTGTCTTCATCACACAGCTCGTCACATGCTTCCAGAAATATTCTTGGTGCTGCCACCTAGAGGAAGTATTTCGGAAGGCAAGTGTCTCTTTCTTTTCTAGTTATTCATTTATTTCTTCAGGAAGAATTTGTCATGATTCGCCTTTCACTTCACAATGACAATCTTTGTCAGGGAAGTGAAAGTAGAGAGGTACCTAGTTTCTGTCATTCGGCTGTTTGAAATATGGCTAAAGAAAAGACAATTCCAATATATCCCAGCAGAAGATCAAAGTAAAATAAAAAAATGTCAACCCTAAGCTTTATGTTATGGACTATAAGTTCTTAAGTTTTAGAGAAGGAAAAATATTTTGAAATAATTTTTATTACTTAGTTTACTAAATGAATGAAATCTGAGTGGTCCGCTAGGTCATGGAGTTCCTCCTAGTGACAGAGGGGTAAATGAGGCCTATGTGACGTAAGCCTATCTTCTAGGACTCACATTATGGTGGGAGATATGGATACTGAAAATGTGGGTTAACCAACGAATATGCGCTTACAGATTGTGATAGGATCCATGAAGACATGTGAGAGGGAACAAAATGAAGTCATTCTTTCAACAAAATGTGTAGAAGGAAAGGTTTTCTATTCCTTGCCCAACTTGGGACATTCCTTATTCCCACTACTTCCTATATTATTTTTCTCCATAGCTCGTACCTCCACCCACTCAGCATATATTAATAGTTTATTTATGTGTCTGTTTTTTATAACTTGTATTTACTCATTAGCATGCAAACTTCAGGATGGCAGGGATTTGCTCAGTAATTCAACAAACCAGGCATGTAGCAGATATTCAACTAATAATTATTGAATAAATAGATGCATAAATACATAGATAAATGCTCCCTCTTGTTTAAAGAGAAAATAGGATTGGCATTAACATAGAATAGTATAATTATTAGTAAAGTAAAAATTGTAGAAAACAGTAAAACTCCTATGGGAAAAGAAAGATACACCTTGGCATTTAAAGAAGAAATCATCCAGGACCAGCACAGTCACTCATTCCTGTAATCCCAGCACTTTAGGAGTCCGAAGGAGGGTGGAGTGGCTTGAATCCAGGAATTTGAGGCCAGCCTAGGCAACATGGCAAAACCCGTCTCTACAGAAAATAAAAAAACTAGCCAGGCATATTGACTAGAGCCTGTAATCTGAGCTACCTGAGAGCTGAAGTGGAAGAATCACTGGAGCTCAGGAAGCAGAAGTTGCAATGAGCTGAGATTGCACCATGACCCTCTAGCTTCGACAACAGAGTAAGACCCTGTCTTTAAAAAAAAAAAAAGTGCTGAAAGGAGGAGGATTAGGAGGAGGATGAGAAGGAGGAGGAGGACGAGGAGAAGAAGGAAGAGGAGGAGAAAATGCAGCATAAATTGAGACAGAGTTCCTGTGAATAGAGATCTAGGAAGTTAAATCTTTTAAATCTTTTTGGATAATTAGAAGATAGACATCGTACTTTCAAGGATGTTCATAGAAAAAGAAACTGAAAATTCTGGATTTAGGATAAGTAGACTCTTACCAATTAGTTGATGCAGAAAAACTTCAAGATCAACTTGGTGGTGGAGATATGAAAGTTGTTCAGTGTTTGGGTCTTAAAGATAAAATACTGGGGCTGGGCGCGGTAACTCACCACTGTAATCCCAGCACTTTGGGAGGCCGAGGTGGGTGGATCACAAGGTCAGGAGTTTGAGACCAGCCTGGTCAACATAGTGAAACCATGTCTCTACGTGGTTTTTTTGGTTAAAAAAAACCCAATTAGCTAGGCTTGGTGGCGAGCACCTGTAATCCCAGCTACTTGGGAGACTGAGGCAGGAGAATTGCTTGAACTCGGGAGGCAGAGGTTGCAGTGAGCTGAGGTCGCACCATTGTACTCCAGCTCAGGAGACAGTGCAAGACTTCAACTCAAAAAAAAAAAAAAAAAAAAAAAAATAAGATACTCAGATTTAATTCTCCTTCAGTTGAGGAATCAGTTTTGGTGGGCATTGAAAGTACAGAGTTCTTCCTTATCCAGTTTTCATGAACAGTTTCCAAGGAATAACTTATTGTCACATCTGTAGGTCAGAAATGGAAAATAGAGAAAACGAACGTTGAAAGACGTTGGATTAGACACAAGGTGTTTATTTTGATGTAAAGAGTGCAGTCTGACAGGGAGTATTAATTCTAAGAGGCAGGGTGCAATGTTGAGGAGTTAGAATGCCCACGGGCTTGGTTCTATGAAACCTGCAAGCTCTTTTCATTCCAGGTGTTGTCTGGTTCATGGTGCAAGATGCTTTCTGAGACCTGAAAAGAGTCTTATCTCATCTACAGCCTATTTTATTTTTCAGGTACAGCAATCATTTGAAACTCCAAGGGCTAAAGCCCAAATGCCCACCATAGAACGACTGTCCATGACAAGATATTTCTACCTCTTTCCGGGCAATTGAAAATGGTTAAGTATTGAGAGTTGTTGGTGGTGTGTGAAATAAATGAGAGAGTGATATTGGTGGTTAGGTCCAATGACAAATGACAGCTGAGTACTTGGATGGCCAAATTGGTGTTTTTGTTGATATAGTCTGCTGATTATCTGCTACTTTTTTTCTGACTTATATGCATTTGGACTCCTCCAACTCTACAATTAATCAGGCAATCAATCAATCAAGGAAGTAAGAAAAGCTGCAGCAGAGTGTGATAATGAAAAACTAAGGATAACAATTATTAAAATGGAAACATGCTCGTGCTTCCATTACTATTTATATTCATTTATCTCTCATAGTCTTTCTCTTTTATTCTCCCTTTCTTACATACACACACACACACACACACACACACACACAGAGAGAGAGAGAGAGAGAGAGAGACATTAAGTAACCAAACACTGCATCAAACCCTGAACAAAATGCAGTAAACAAAGGAGCTAACTCTGGAGAAAGCAGCATTTTGATCCTCTGAGTGAGGATGTCACAGCAAATACCACATTACTGACATCCGGGTACCATTACCAGATAGTAGAAAATACATCCTACACTGTAGAGTTTGTACTGATCTAGGCTCTGGTTCTCAGACTGTTCTCACAATGCAGATCACCAATCACTCAGAGTTGGCTTCTGAATCCTCAATCACAGTCCAGAAGTTCCTTCAAGCTCCAACGTAACTTTTGTTATTATTTTGATTACAATGTTACAGAATGGGTACATTGAGTCTGTATCAAATGATTACTTTCTTCACTCATAACAGCTTTATTTCGCATTAGATTATAAGACTATTATTAGTTTCTCTCTAACATGCATACTTAAAATTATATTTTATAGTGAATTGTATAAAGTTGTTCTCAATACTTCCAACATTTACCACATAATTTTTTACTCTTGGTTTCTGACACTTCAGTCACAATATTGCATCATTTCAGCGTAACAGCTTTCAGTGCCTAATCCATCCAATGGGGCGACATTTGGACATGGAACTGTTTGTTGACCAATATTTGCCAACACTAACTGTGCACCAGGTTCTGTTCTAGATGCTTGGAATATGCCAATTAACAAAGTAAATAGATTTCTTACAGTCAGACAGCGTATATTCTAGTGAGTAGAAACAGAATCTGAAAACATAAAGTGGTAAATACATCACAGGTCAGAAAGCAAAAAAAGATAAAAGGAAGAATAAAGGAAGAGAAAGGAAAACGCAGAATGATGGATACTGTACTCCTATAGATATTTCACTCAAAAGCTTTTCTTGAAATAATGAAATCAGAACAAAGAATGGAGAGAGTTGGGGAGTGAATAACGTGGTTCTTATGCAGGGAAAGTGTTCCAGCACAGAATACAGCCAGTGCAAATGCCCTGGGGTAGCAATGCACTAAACATATTTAAATAACCGCAATGAGACAGTGTGACCAAAAGAGAACGTTACTGGGGAAAATGGCAGAGACAAATTAGGAGAAGCAGCGAGAAGTCAGATCTCATGGTTCTATGTTATCACATGGTAAACCTTTAAAAATTATTACCTGAGTGAGACAGGAAGCCTTTCTAGTGCTTTAGAAAAAAGAAGTGATATGCTTTAAATTAGGTCTTACAAAGATCACATTTTGGTAAATAGACTAAGATGTCACAAATGGAAATCAAGGGAAGTGGCAAGAGCACATGGAAGAGGATGCAAGAAAAATCATGATGAGGGATGGGATGAAGGCAACAAGGGTGACCATCTTGACATTCTGTTCTTTCTCTCCCCTGCAGGAAGCCACAAGCAGCCCAGTCCTCCTTTATCAACTTCAAGGAGCACCTTCATTAGTACAGCTTGCATATTTAACATTTTGTATTTCAATAAAAGTGAAGACCAATGAATGGTGTCTTTTTCTAATAGTGAATATAATTTTAATGAAAACGGTGGGTGAGTGGAAATGGAGGAAGCTAACTGGATTTTCGAGTTTTATGGCTCATGAAATATCTATACTTGGCTGATGAAGAAAACTGACTGCGACTTACCCCCAACAATAGGATGAAAGACGATGTTACTGAAAACTATAGTGGGATACTGCCTCATACCCATTTGAATGACTCCCATCAAAGAAAACCCCCAACAAACAGAAAATAACAAGGGTTTTCAGGGATGTAGAACAATTGGAATCCTGTGCTCTGTTGGTGAGAATTTCAAATGGTACAGCCATCATGGAAACCTGTATGGTAGTGCCTCATAAAATTAGAAGCAGAGTTACCATATGCTCCAGAAATTCCACCTATAGGTGCATAACTAAAGTAATTGAAAGCAGGGTCTCAAAGATATATTTATACACCCACATTTATAGCAGCATTGTTCACAATATCTAAAATGTGGAACTATCCAATAACTGATGAATGAATAAGCAAAATGTGGTATATAAACATAACGGAATTTTATTCAGCCTTAAAAGAGAAGGAAGTTCTGACGTTTGTTACAATATGAATGAACCTTGACATTATGCTATGTGAAATAAGGCAGCAATAGAAAATTCATACCGTATGATTTCCCTTACATGAGGTACCTAGGGTATTCAAATTCATAGAGACAGAAAGTAGAAGGGTGACGGCCAGGGACTGTGGGGAGGAGGAAATGAGGAGTTATTATTTAATGATATAGAATTTGAGCTTTGCCAGACAAAGAGGAATTCTGCAGGGAAATGGGGGTGACTGTTATATGACATTATGAATGGATTTAGCATCAAATACTACATTTAAAAATGTTAAGATGGTCGATTTTGTGGTATGTATTTTTAAGACAATAAGGCATTGGGGAAAAAGGGGATAATCGGAGGTGAGAAAAGATGGAATAAATTGCACCCAGGAAATTCTGATCAACTTACACAAAAGAGAATTAAGCTACTATGCAAAACTGATGAAAGAAGACATGCGAGTAAATTATAGTATTTATTATTTCAAAATGAATCAAGGAAATAATTGGAAATCACACCACCATCAAATATTATGTAGAACAGGAGAGGAATTTGGCAGTGTGAATGAGCTACATTTCATTTTTCATATGAGACCGTTAACCACTTTCTGCTGTGATAAATCTTAGCAAAACTAGGAGTCCAAGCATATATGTCTTTTTTTCCCCCAGAGTGTTAATCAAACTGAGTTAGGCAACTTTACTTTCACACACCTGTGATGCCTCAGGAGCCATCTCGACATACACATGTCAAGATAATTATTAATTCTATATCTGACGATGTCTCAATTCCACTTTCACCATACAAAGCAGAGATCAAAGGTGTCACTCACAGATACTCATCTATTCTGCCTTAGCTGTTAAATAACTGTCCAGTCATTCATGTGAAGACCCTCTTGTTTCCCAAATGATGTACATGGTTTCAAGTGACTTACATCTTGAACAGGATTTATTATCAATCATTCAAGTAAGTGGAAAAAAATTTAGTAGAGTAGAGAGTATGCTATTTCAATGTCCATCTTTCTTTAGGTCCACTAGGAAGTTACCTTAACACACAAGACTCTTAAGCAGTGTTTTCTCCTTCCTAGTTAATGGTGCTTCTAAGGAAATAGCATTCTTTGAATCTCATATAGGATAATCCCAGGGTAAGAGGGTTATGGGTAATTCTCAGGGATTGACCATATTATTTTTTCTCTTCTTAATCTATTCTGCTTCCACAGAGGCTATTCCGATAGTTTCACTACTCCTGTGTACACATTTATATGAACAAATTTTGAATTTGTGTATTAAATCCTGATTCCCACTTAAGTGCCAGACTTTACAATTCAAGTGTCTACTGAACATATTCACTCACATCTCCCAGAGACGCCTTTGTCTGAACATTCCCGCAGTTGAATGTGCCATTTTTCCCCCATGCTGCTTCTCTTTCAGTTTCTCCTATCTTGGTTAATGATGTCCCCATTACCAGTTATTCAAATCAGAAACCCGAAACTCATCTTGAGCTTTCTTCTCACTCTCGTCCAACATTTAAGCTTTTGCCAAGTTTATGGATTTATTGTTCAAATTGGGATCTCTCTCTCCATTTCTACTTCTACTACTATATTTCAGAGCCCCTATTCCTGAAATGCCCTATAATTCCTTAGCCATAACTTTTACTATATGTTTTGGTAATTTAAAAAATAAATTCAGTTTCCCCCACTAGACTTTACGCTTTAAGATAAAATTTTTAAATGTCTGACTTATTCATAGGTATGGTCTCATCTAACAGTTGGTTGCCCGTAGTATGCATTCAATAAATACTTGTTAAAAGAACACTTCACTAAATAATTTCATTAGAATTAATATTACTTACTAGGCCACTAGAAAAAGAATTATCACATGCCAACTGTATTCTGTACCCTGTTCTACGGACTAGATAGAGAAAAATGAATATGATAAACAATGTTTCCATTTTTATTGCACTCACGTGAATACATAAATCATTAATGAATAGGTAATTAAAAATATCTATCCTGAAATTAAAGCATTCCAATAATTTAGGGATATAAATGAGACTACACACGCCTGTATCCGTTAATGCAGGATGTTTTAAAAAGGTGAAACATTTATAATGGCTCAGATATGGTGGAAACTTATTTCTCATTCATGAAAATTCTAAAAATCGTCATTCTTTTCTAATAGGCAGGTCTTCTCAACCCAGAAGCTTAGACCTCTTCTATTCTATGGCTCTGATAATCTGCAACATGACAATGTTAAAATAACTGATGTGTACTAAGAAGAAATCCTAAAGGTTGGCACGAAGGCTCATTAAAACAATGTCTGATGATTGCTATCATGACTAATAAGTAAATAAATAGGCAAGCATATATTTTTTAAAGAAACATTTAATTAAGTACTACTTCCATTAAATTATATCTTAGTGTTTTCTGGGTGTTTAATTATGCATGGCCTTGGAAAGCTCTCTTTTTCTCTAAAATATTTGTAAAAATGCTGATTCTAAGATATGAAAGTAGATGCCTGTATTGCACCACTGGAAATCTCCTCTGGCTTGGAATGTGTTCCATTAGCAGTGAATTCACTCAGTGGTGTTAATGACTAGATCAAGATTGTCCTCTTAAGAATGTACCTCTTTCTTTATGGCTTCACACATAGATGATGATGTAAGAAACACAAAGTGGGACAGAGAAGAATGCCATTATCCATGAGGAATGCCATTCTTCCTGGGAGGGTCAGAACTGAAGTTGATGTCAGAGATATAAAGACGCTGGTGGAAACTCTGGGGTACAGCATGGATATGAAAGAAAATGTCACTGCTTCAGTAAGTTTTATCACACATAGAGACAATGGTAATGGCTTTCATATTCCTAAATAATCTTAGAAAGCTTAGTTGTATGACCAGGAAATGTAACCTCTTGATAATCTAAAATCCAAACTTGCCAATGGAGGGTTCTGGATGCTACATGTTCTCTTTTAACGTAAGAGTCATTCAGCAAGAGCCTGGTAAAACTTAATTGGGAAATGTTTTATTAACTCAATAGTCCCACCTTCTCTCTATAAGAAATCTCAGGATGATCTCTGTAACACTCTCTTTACTTTTCTCTAAATTAAGACTAGAATTTTCCTTGCCACTCGCTGTTTGTCATGGAATTCCTTAAGAAATCCCTTAGGTATTTATTTATTTGATTTCTAAGGTGCCATAATAGTGAATCACATAGTGCAAAATCAGTAGTATGGATCTCTTTCAGGACATGACTACAGAACTGAAGACATTTGCTCATTGCCCAGAGTACAAGACCTTTGACAGTACCTTCCTGGTGTTCATGTCTCATGGTATTCAGGAAGGATTTGTGGGAAAAAGTAGTCTCAGCAAGTCCCAGATCGATTAGAAGTCAAAGAAGTCTTTCAAATGTTGCATATCAGGAACTGTCCAAGTTTGAAGGACAAACCCAAGGTGATCATCATCCAGGCCTGCCGTGGTGGTGAGTGCTGATGTCTTTGAGAACACCAGACATTAAAATACTGACTTCATCCGTATGCATCCAGGATTTTTCCCTTTATGTTTGATGCTTAATGTGAAAGAACACATATCGTCAGTATACAATAATGTGGCTTCTGTGAATTATATTGCTGGTTGGGAGATGTTTGTTCTATATTTGTATTAGGGTTCTCTAGAGGGGCAGAACTAATAGGATATATATATACACACACACACCCCATATACCCCATATATATGCGTATGTGTGTGTATATATATATATATATGGGATTTTATGGGATAATTAACTCATGTGATCACAAAGTGAAGTCCCAAAATAAGTCGTCAGCAAGCTGAGGAGCAAGGAAATCAGTCCGAGTCCCAAAACTTCAAAAGTAGGGAAGTCAACAGTGCCGCCTTCTGTCCATGGCCAAAGGCCCAAAAGTCCCTGGCAAGTCTCTGGTGTAACTCCAAGAGACCAAACATTGAAGAACTTGGAGTCTGATGTTTGAGGGCAGGAAACATGCAGCATGGAAGAAAGATGGAGACTGGAAGACTCAGCAAGTCAAGTCCTTCCAACTTCTGCCTCCTTTATTCTAGCTGTGTTGGCAGCTGAGTAGATTGTGCCCATCCAGATTTAGGATGGGTCTGCCTCTCCCAGTTCACTGACTCAAATGGTAATCTCCTTGGGCAGCACCCTCACAGACACACCCAGGAACAATTGTTTGCATCCTTCAATCCAATCAAGTTGACATTCAATACTAACCATCACAGTATTTAAATTTGAGACTTTGATGTTGGAATGTTGTTAAAATTTGAGGATTAGAAAAGGTAAAATGTGTTGAAAAGATTGTTACTGGGATGTATGTATTTAGGGGCATATGAATAAATGATAAAGTCAACACTTTGATAAATACGACTGAACACAGGTTAAGAGGAGA